GATGACTTGTGTAATGACGCACAAGAATATGATACTAAACAAATTTTATTTCTTACAGACATTCATCAATTGTCACAAAATTATGAGTGAACGCGACACAATTAAACATAGTCATAGATATAAATTATGCGCTAAAAATGTTCCTAAACCAAACAAACCTGTAATGAAACGATCTCACCTGTATTTAGCTCCAAAACTGTACGAAATTCTTCATATGATTTAAAACAATTACGTATTAAGCTTCAACATTTAAAAAAAAATTAAAATGCTTGAGAGAAACAACATTCATGGAATAATCTCAAATAGTAAATGCTATCGTTCTTACACATAATATAATCATGTTTTTTTTTCTCTGTGTTCATTCTTTTAAATCTATTGCAATTCAACATACAATTGATCCATGTACATCAGGCATTGTCCTATGGATATATTTATTTACTCATTTCGTGTTACCTGAATTTATAGAGTAAATATATATTATTAATATAACATAATAACGAGTGCTAAACTAATAAGTCATTGATATATGCAACTTCAAAATTTCTAATCCCAAATAGTAGGAGCTTCATTTGAAACAACAGATATCTCTAGAAAGTAGTTTTTTGTCCGTGCTCCAGCAGAAAATCGCCTCGTTATCAGAAATTACACGACGAGAATGTAATAAACTATTGTCGTGATATAATAAAAATCTAGTAGGATTAATAAAAAGTAAATGATTCATCATGGTTTTATACCGGATGTTCTAATTCTAGCCTCACCATTGGAATCTCGGAAACTGTATGAGATACGAAGTCGTTTAAATGGGCGCAAAGTTGTGCATTTATGTAACTTGAAAAATGACATCTAGAGAATTTTTCCATTCAAAGTATTTCCTGAGGTAGAGGAAAAAACTGAATACTCACAAAATCGTTTTTATTTTTCCTTACTTTATTTGGGGTGGGGAATAAGTTGTACATTGAGGGGAGGCTAGATAACGACTGACGACGCTGTGTTCTCAAATAATCAATTTCTCTTTTGTTATTAAACTAAATCGTGTAATATTTTGTGTAGGACCCTGAAAGTCCAGTAGCTAATGTCAGCCTGAAATTCAAATTTTTTCTCACTTCAAATTGCTCTCCGTCGTAGCAACAGCGAGAAGTGCAATTTATAACTTCAAAATAGCAGCTGTTCTGAAACCCTTTATATTAACCCATAGTTTTAGGGGCCTAAGCGAAATATTGCAGGATTTAGTTTAGGAACAAACGATCTTGCATTTAAATAGTATTAATCGGGTGCGGCAGGCTCAGTCGCGTTCGAAAACTTGGCAACAATTGCACTTCCCACGCAATGCCGTTGTCAGTTCATAAAGGATTATGTTCAGCACAAACATAGAGAAAAAAGTTTGTCAAGCAGGTCCATACAATTAGTCCATGGACATTATTTACCTGCCCAACCGGTAGTGCATCTGGAAACGTCGCCTTTCCCCTATACTTAAGCCGCAGCACGGTCAGAGCATAGGGAACATTATGCTGTCTCGGCAGAAATACGTATAATACTGTAACAAGAATGAATAGCTGTTGGCGTCATCTATTGGGGACCGCGCCAGACTCTCATTCTCGCCAGCTGCTTCATGGCCGATCTCTATTGAGGACCGTGTCAGAGACTCTCCTTCGGTGGCGACATCTGTTGAGGACCGTGCTAGTGACTCGCCTTCTCGACTTGACGAGTACCTGTGATGCGGACTATATAGGGACGGCCGGGAGACGAGAGCAGAGTAGAATATAGTTCAGTGAATGGCGCGGCATAATTTGTAGTCAGACATAAATAGTGGTGTACATAAATGTTCCATCTAGTGAAGTTGAATAAATTAGTGCGTTTCTTTTTGTGAAATCCCGTGTTTTAATCCACACCCAAAAAAAACCCAGAAAAACGATACAATACCATACCAGAACAACAGAACACTCCGCAGCCGCGGCCGGTGGGTACGCACGCGATCCACCTCCCGAGAATACCAAGTTTTAAGGGCTAATGTGTGAAATATGTCTAATAGGTGCGTAGAATTACCAAGGTTGGGAGTGTATAAATGTAGTAACATCAAAAACTAGAGATAAACACTACCCACCCCCTACAACTCCCCACACTCCAGTTTTTTCACCTCAAAATTTTTTTTCAGAAATGATCAGAAGGCATCAAAAAAACGGGGTTTGAGTGATTTCTACTTTATTCGTTATAGGCCTTTTTCTCTGTCGCCACTGCGTTTGCATCATTGGCATAATAGTAACATTGTTTAAAAATTTCATCGATATCCGAGCAGTACTTCTCAAGTTATAGGCGGTTTTAGATTGTCGGACAAATTGACAAACAACGGAAATATATAACATTCAAAAAAACATTTTAGAAAATGCTTGCAATTACAATATTTAATATTTTAAAAGTTAACACCTTGAATAATACTACCTGTAACATAGACTATTGAACTTTAAGTTTTTGGTGTATCATTCGACACTACTTTTTAACGGCAAATTTGACAGTTTCTGTATCATGCGTTGTGTTGCATGTTGAAAGTTGAACATCTGGATATGGATCATAATGAAGAGATTACGAGCGTTCATTTGATTTAATAGAAAACGTCATTGTTTGTTTTCTTGTTCACCGTGAGGTTAACTGATTCATATTTTTAGCTAAACTTATCTATATTAGTATTAATCAAAGAAATTTGGATTAAATTATGTTTGTTCACCTTGACGTGCTGATAGATAAAATGAAGTACAGTTTTCACTAACTTTTACAAACTGTTGAGAAATATAACCTTATAATGCCATATTATTGCAGTTGGTCGGATACGTTTTTCAACTTTTTTGAATTGATTTTTTCTGTTGTCTCAAAATACCTTCCTAGAGACAAATTAAACTTTGATTTTGATTCGACGATCGGAAAAACCTAAGCAACATGCGGCTGGACTCGAAAGCTATACTTATATTTTGAATTAGTCCTTGAAGTGCCCTTAAATGACCTTCAGATGCCTTTATAGTGACTAATTGACCTCTGATTCAGACTTATAACCAGAAAAACCTAAATGACATGCGGTTGGGCTCAACTGTTGGGAGTGCTTTTAAAAATGTGATTGAAATGGCCTTCAAATGGGCCCACAGACAAACTAATCCCAGATTTTAAATCAGCGACCCATAAAATCATTTTATACTGAAAATCATATCAATGCCTTGAAAATTATATTTTTGTCAGCCTTTCGGTGTTCTAAATTACAGGGTCGTGCTAAAATAACGCTAATTTTAGTCGATAAATGGGCAAATTATCTGAATGGCCTTTAAACACGCTTCTTCTCAAAAACTGAAGCAATTTTAGTTGGCGATATAATTTAATATTTGATAATCATTTTTAAGGCCAACCATGAAAATTTTTACCCAGCTATGGTGCGCTGCAGTGTGAAAGTCCAATGTAGTGTCCGCAAGAAAAAATGTAGTTAGGACAGGATAAAAACGATTATGTGAAAATTTAGTTTTTTTTCGCGAAAATACTCTGAATTGCGAAATCTTTCAAGTGTCATTTTCAGTCACATAAATGAGTAACTTTGTCTATGTGAAAAATAATTAATTTTGGATTACGTTTTTGAGGTTGCTGATTTCAAATCTGCTGCCAATAAAACAAGTGCAATATGGCTTATCTAATATAGCATCAGATCCTTGAAATAAGTTGATATTACGATGTTTGATAGGAGACAGGATCTTTATATTATAGTGATTGCCGAATAAAAAGGATTCTTTAAAAAACTCACAAATAGTATATTTTATACATTACAAACAAGAAAATACTAAATGACTGTAGCACTAATCGTAAATTTTATAAATATTGATGTCTGAAAGAACGAATCTGAGATTAAATAGATCTTTGATTAATTATGCAGTTTTTACATTTCCTTGAGCTCTTAATTTCATTTGTAATGCATATGTAAATTCTGAGCGCTCGTACTGGTTCATAGTCGAAAAAAAAACTATCAGCAAAACAAGATTTAGTCGACCTTCAGTGATTGATTTTCTTGGGCTGATTTTTCTTGTGAATTATTGTGCTGTTGAGCCAGTCTTCACCAGTCTTTATATCTAATTAAAAAAGAGACCTGTTTCGACTGGTCTCAAGCCACTTATTAAGTTTTGATATGAATCCTACAAGATTTTCGGTATCACTTAGCCTTTCTTGACATGTTTGTTTAAAAATTCCGGCTCGCAATTTATGGAACATTTTTTATCTAGACGCTTTCATGGAAAAACATGCATCATGTTGAACAAATCGCCATATGTAAAGATTAAGTCCGAATCTAGAAGTAATACAACGTAATATAGCAAAAGGTCGATATGAGCATTTATTGTAATTGGTATAGATTGATTAAGGCTATATTTCTAAAAAGTTTGTGAATGTTAGCAAAATCTGATTCTAGGTTTTATTTGGCACTACTTCAAGGTTCTAAAACATAATTAATCGGGACGAAGGGCGGAAGTTTGTTAAAAACCCTTCTAAATAATAGTAATAGAAAAGTAATGATACATTTAATCCACGATGTGCGTGAATACAACTACCAGGTCACATGTTTATTATAAATCAGTTAAAATATCTTAGCTTCTTTAGTAGAATCCATATTGAAATATCATGGATTTTTCAAAACACAACACGGTGGATAAAGTAGAACGTCACAGAATTCACCGCAAAAAATTTTAACAAATTACTTACCAAACTTCAGTTTTGGGTCGTATCGAAGGTGGTGTAAACAAGGTTTTGTTTTCATGGTGAAATAATTATTCCAAGTATCAACTTTCAAATACATGATGCATTTCACCCATTTCCACAACTTGCTAGCTGTTTGGGTATTCTAGACCACTGTGCGGCGGTACGGCAACGTCAGAGTTTATAAATCGGCCTTTACAGTTCCCTAGATCTCAGTGGTGATGGTAGAGTCTGAAACACCCGGTATAATATGCTTCTTATGTATTCTCTTACTTTGCTATCAACGGAGGCGGTTTTAAGGGTGTATTAATTCATAATTTTGAAATTTATATTTAATCTTCATCCTACCGAATTCAATTTGGTACTTCCAGACAGCACTTGGGCGACGAACCTAGACTATGTGACTACACCGGCCGGTACTACTGCATGGCATGCCATTGGGGAGGGCGAGCCGTGGTGCCGGCACGGGTGGTCCGGAACTGGGACCTGGAACCTCGGCCCGTTTGCCAGGCCGCGTTGCAACAGTTGCGAATCACAGCCCATCGACCGATTATCAATCTGGAGAAGATAAATCCGAGGCTGTTCAGCTTGGTGCAAGAGTTGGGATTGGTGAAGAGATTGAGGACAGAACTGATAGGTGAGCAGAATAAAGGTTTCATATACTTCGTCAAGTACTTTCTACGCAATAACATCGAAGTCAATATAATTCATGCCATCGCCCAAATTCAGCCGAATGTGTGCGGTAGTCATTGAAAATTATACCTTTGGATTCACGCCACTGCCCGATTAGCGGTGGACAGTTGCTAAGTTATATTGACAAAATGCCATACCTTCCACACCTTCCATGTAAAAAAATAATTTCTTTATTTCCTCAATCAAAGGCTTTTTGATTTAACTTTAACATCGATCCATCCCTATTGGAAAATGCTTTACTTCTGGATGTAGCAACACTTCAAACCGAAACTCACAAATCAAAGCATCTGCTGCTTACATGTCATAATTCTAGTCTCAATTATTATTAGTTCATCAAGAGTCAGATATATATACCTTCCTTGAAGCTTTTTTTATATCGAAGCAGCCGCGCAGGCAGAAGCCTAAATGCCGGAACACCGCGGCTGCTATGGTCATCCCAAAGAAATTTTGTTAATATGATTTTTGAACTGCCTAAGGTTAGAACTGGGAAAACTTCCTCTTGTAGATTGTTCCATAATCTCGACACTCTCGGGGCGGTCGTATCGGCCAGTTCTGGATGTACGAAGTTCGACACGGTTAGGATGGGACGCCAAAGTCAGGCGGGTCTGTCTGGCAGGCACATCGCGCGGCGGCATCATGGAAGAGAGCTCTGAGGAGCAAAGCCCGTTGCTGTAGCGATAGAAAAGCGCTAGATCGCCGACGGCCCGCCGGTGCGAAAGAGTGCCGAGACTGTCTGTTAGAGAGGAGTCATCGATCAGTCGGAACGCCCTCCTCTGGACAGCACCGAGCATGGACAATGTAGTCGGGGCGGCAGCATCCCAAACGTGTGAGTAATACTCGAGGCTAGGCGTTATCTGGGCTTTGTGTAGAGTGAGAAGGTCATGCGGAGAAAAGTACTTCTTAGCCCTAAACAAATAGCCTAACTTTTTCCCAGCAGCTGCAGCTATTGACGAGATGTGTTCGTGCCAGATCAGGTCCTGGGTGATCTGGACTCCGACCAGCAGAAATCAATGGCTCTTTGGCAGAACAGGGCCGTCCATCGAAACTGGATGAGCGCTAGGACGCTTTTTGTTCGTCAAAGTACAGTACTGTGTTTTGGAAGCATTGAACTGTGCAAGATTGTTGCGTCCCAAAGCAGTGATAGCATCCAGGTCTCTTGTCAGAGAGGAAGTCGTCACTAGTCTTCTTTTCTCCAGCTCAGCGGCAGAGATCGGCTTGTCACTCTTAATTTCTGCATGTAGAGTGCTGTCATCAGCGAAGCTGTGGATTGGGTTGATCGTGCAAAAAAGAGGTCGTTGATATGTAAGAGAAACAGTGTTGGAGCCAAGACCGATCCCTGGGGAACACCCGCGTTGACGTTATAGGATGAAGAGGAGAAACCATCAATTACGACGGATATCTTGCGGCCAGAGATAAAGTCAGCCACCCATCTGCAAAGCTTTTCTGGGAGGTCATAGGATGGAAGTTTGCTTAAGAGGGCAGCGTGCCATAGCTGATCGAACGCTTTCGTGATGTCAAGAGCAACGACATGAGCCTCACCATAAGAATGGATGAGTTTACTCCACAATTGCGTGACGTAAGCTAGGAGGTCCCCTGTGGATCGTTGGTGCCGGAAACCAGACTGCCTGTCGCTAATCAAGCTGTGGCGTTCGAGATAATCCAGAAGCTTGCGATTTATGCACCTCTCCATCACCTTACTTATAACAGAAAGCAGAGCTATAGGCCTGTAGTTGTAAGGGTCGGTCTTCGATCCTTTTTTGGGATGGGCTGGACATGAGCAAATTTCCAGTTTTCTGGGAAGTTGCCGGATTCATAAGATATCTGGAAGAGACGCGAAAGAACTGGAGCAAGGTCCGCAGCACTCCTCTTCAGTACAATGGCAGGAATCAAGTCCGGACCAGAAGCTTTGTTGATGTCGAGAGATAAGAGCACTCGTCTTACGTTCTTATGCCTGAATGTTACCTCCCGCATAGTGTATGGAACCCTTTGAATTGACGGCACTTGGGCATTGGGGGGACGTCCATGGTGGAGTTGGCAGCAAAGATCTTGGCTAGCACTTCCCGCCTTGGCCTTTGAGTCGAATACAATAGTTCCATCCCGACACGTAAGTGGTGGAAGGCTACTGTGTGAGAAGTTCTTTTCAATCTGCTTGGCCAGCGTCCACAAAGACCGACTGCCATTGCGCTGCGACATTACCCTGTGCCTAATTTTTATATCGTGCTAGTTTTTGGCATTGCGAACCGCTTCGTTATATTTGTTTCTGGACTCGACGTCGGCTTGTCTGTTCTCTACAGTGGGGTTTTGTAAGAAGGTTCTGTGTGCCTTGATCTTCTGCTGGCGAGCAGTGTCACACGATTTCTTAAACCAGCCTTTGGACCCTGGTTTAGGCACTTTCACTGTGTGAGGGATGTATTCCTCCATTGCGACGTGGATAATTTCTGTTATCGAAGACAAGTTTTGCGGCCTGTACGAGTTTCTGCTGCCACAGCGGGTTCTGACCGAAACCTAACCTCCACAACACCGTGGTCTGAGTTACCCAGGGGGGACAGGACAGCAGTGCTGTAAGGGACAGGATTCGTGGTCAGAAAGAGATCCAGCAGGCTACTGGCGTGTGACGAGACGCGGGGGAAACAGTAGGGCTCGTCACCAGCTAGGTCAGCCCTTGAGTAAGAGCGAACGCTTCAACTGCACGACCTGTTGCATCGGTCTTGTTTGAGCCCAACCAAAGGTCATTATGGTCATTGAAATCACCGAGAAGAACTACCTCTGAAGTAGGGTGATTGATGTTCAGGAAGTCGATCTGGACGGCGAGGTATTCGAGTAGGTCATCCCAGTTATGGTACGAGGAAGAGCGATAAAGGCAGCAAATAAATTTTGGTGATGGTTTGGAGTTGAGGCGAAGCCACAGAATGTCCTTCCGGTCTGATTCCAAAGAAACATCTCTGGAGCAAGCAATACTGCTGCAGACAGAGGCTACAACTCCCCCGTTCTTTCTCAGATTGGAGTGCACCTCGTAGTTTGGGAAGTTAAGATGGTTAATCGGTGCAGACTCTGAGATTTTTGTCTCCGCCAAGAAAAGCACGGGGGGACGATTGGATTGCAGGTAGTGATGAACAGCATCAATGTTGCTGTTAATCCCGCAGATGTTCGAAAAACAGTCCTTGGAAACAATTTATATTAGATATCTCCTTGGAAACGGGTGAAACAATGACGCTTCCTTGATGAACATTCAAGGGAAAGTTTAAATTTTACAGTAGGTTGTAACAGTCGTCATCACAAGCTGTCATCAATGTCAGAAAGATTTTTCTTAGCTGGCCGTATCTGTTTAACATTTTTATGGTAAAATTGGGACGATTTGGTTTGTTTGTGATAAGTATCAATAACAATGCAAAATAACAATGTGTTTGCTTCCTCGAATAACAGCGCAATCACAGAGAAGTAAAAAAACCTTAATATAGGCAGTCAGTTGCACCGAACTGCTCTGCTGGTTACAGATTGTATATTACGCCTATCGGAAATAAACCAAATCGTCCCCAATTTTATAATCGAAATGCTAAACAAACACGGCCAGCAAAGAAAGATCTGTTCGACATCGTTTACAGTTGAACTGTTACAGCCTACTGTGAAATGAAAATTTAAATTTTCCCTTGAATATTCCTCAAAGAAGCATCACTGTTTCACTGATTCCAAGGAAGCCTCAAGGCAAGTCTATTATTCTGAATTCATTTGTTCTTTTACCAGGAATGAAAAAGTACCTAACAGTCTGCCGGAAAGCCACAGAAGACCACGTCCTCTGGAAACACGTGGACGCTCCCCACCTTATCGACTCCCTGGACATGTACAGCTTGCAAGACCTAGTTGATACCAATTCGGGAGAGCTGCCTTTCAAACTCCATTCACTGGTAGAGATTTTCTCAAACCATATTAAAGTCGATTGCGAGATTTGCAAGGGTAGAGCCCATATTTGTGTTATCTGCCTGTGCAATGAGGTGGTATATCCCTTCGATACCACGGGACATACTTGCAGTAATTGCAATTCAGTTATGCATAAGGTGTGCTATAATCGGAAGAACCAGTGTCCTAAGTGTCTTAGGATAAAGAGTCGAATGGAGGAGGAGCAAAATAATAATCAGAAAGAGAATGAGGAAGGTACAGATTAGTTATAGTTTTAATGTGTTCCATTTTGTTTGAGGTGACTTTTATACGGTTGTACTATCAATAGATATATTTATTTTATAAGTTCAATGTCTTCCTCTTTCCCATATATTTCAGAGTGGCTAGCCTAGAACTACGTGTCTTTGAATTTATTTGTTGAATGCGCAAATAGCAAATGTATTCTGGAGCAATTAACTTCACAAGTCTATTAGGAAAACATCTAGACATCGACTACTCTCGTTCTAGATATTTGCCTAATAAACTTGCGAAGTTATATCCTATAGTTTTCCTCTACGCGTTTCTGTTATCCTGATAAGAAAAATCACTTAAGACCATTATGATTATGACATTGTATGATTGAAACAATAGGATACGAAGAATGTGAAGACTTTCGCTGCTAACCTCTGATTTGCAGAGTAACCCAGATACGGCAGTTTTTATTTTCAATAAATTTTTTTAGGCTTTATAATTGTCTAAGTAGTAAACTGAAGCCTATATATGGAGTGTTCAGCGGTTTTTCATCAATGTCACGCATGCGTGTCGGTCGCACCTGGCCATGAATTTTTTGCTAGGTGCTGGCCGACATGCATGTGTGTTGTTATATTCAGATGTCATGTGTGTCTTCAGCAACTGGCAAAAAATGTCACGCAAGTGTGAGATCAGCAGTGAAAGTGTTAAAGAAACGACGAGAGACACGAAGTCTGTAAATTGAGTAGAGACTGACTTTTTTAACCTTCTGAAACCACACAGCGCTGAAAACGTTTCTTCCAGTCCTCATAGCAGTGCTGGACCTCCGATACTAGAATAGCATTCAGCTGTCACAAAATGAGTTCCCTTGAGGTGATTTTTCAACATCGGGAAGAGAAAAAAATCCCAAGGACTCAAGTCAGGCGAATAAGGAGGCTGAGGGCCACAGGAATGTTTTTACTCGTTTATTGACTTGGCTGTGTGACAAGGAGCATTATCGTGATGCAACATCCAGTTGTTCTTGATCTGTGATGAACGGTGGTGTGGGTCAAATTTAACTCATCCTGACTGTTAACCGACGACCTGAATGTACAAAATCTCTGGTTCTGTCGATATTTTCATCGGTTCTTGAAGATGAAGGCATTCCGCTTCGTAGTTCATCTTCAATTGACCCCTTCTGACAATGCCTTAAACCACCGAAACATCTGGGCCTTTGACAATACACTATCTCTGAAGGCCTGCTGAAGTTTATCAACAGTTTCCGTTGTACTGTGTCCAAATCTGAAGTTAAACCTGATAGCACACCGATGCTCGAAATTGGTCACTCATTTTTAGAACACAATAGAAAAAACGTTTTCACAAAAAACATCGCTACAGACAACCAAATGACTCGAGCGAGTTCAAAATTGTACTGAAGGCTCCAGATAGCACGCTACGTTACTAGTCGCATCACTTAATTTACAGACCTCGTATGTACGCCAGTAGAATTGAAATATATATATATAGCGAGGGTCCTACAGCTGCTACCGCTTCTCGCACTTCAATCGCCATTCTCTTCTGTTTTCCCAATCTCCTTGATTCATTTCCCTTTTCGTCATGGCTTCTTATATCCCTTTCCTCCACGATGTTTTTGGCCTACCTCTCTTCCTTCTGTTGGTTGGGATATATGATACCATCTTCCTTGGCCATCTTTCATCAACCATCCTCATGACATGGCCGTACCAAACTATACTAAGTGACATATAAATCCGAACACCCAGTTTAAATGGTTTTATTTTAATAAAATTTTGTATAAGTACTTAATGAAGCATAATAAGTAAATGATAAAAATTTCAAAATGTTTGCACTGCTTTAAAGCCCTTTGACCTTTAATAATGTGTGGATGCACCCTGATGTGCTACGCATTCTCCAACGCGCCTAGGCATGCTTCTGATCAGGTAGTCAATGTTCTCCTGTGGTATCTCATTCCAGGCAACCACCAACTCCTCTCGAAGTGCTTCTAGAGTCTGAGGAGGACGTTGCAAATTGAGCAATCTCCTACCCATCATATCATGGTTTGGGGTGCTATAGCTTATGGTTCCAGGTCACCTTTAATCTTCATCAGAGGTAACATGAACGCGCAGCGTTATATCCACGAAGTTCTAGAACCCCATCTTTTACCCTATCTTGACACCCTGGCAGATCCAACTTTCCAACAAGATAATGCCCGACCACAAGTTGCAAGAGTCACAATAGACTTCTTTCAACATAATGATGTCACATTGTTACCATGGCCACCAAGATCTCCCGACTTATCCCCAATCAAGCACGTGTGGGATATGATGGGTAGGAGATTGCTCAAGTTGCAACGTCCTCCTCAGACTCTAGAAGCACTTCGAGAGGAGTTGGTGGTTGCCTGGAATGAGATACCACAGGAGGACAATGACCACCTGATCAGAAGCATGCCTAGGCGCGTTGGAGAGTGCGTAGCACATCAGGGTGCATCCACACATTATTAAAGGTCAAAGGGCTTTAAAGCAGTGCAATCATTTTGAAATTTTTATCATTTACTTATTATGCTTCATTAAGTACTTATACAAAATTTTATTAAAATAAAACCATTTAAACTGGGTGTTCGTATTTATATGTCACTTAGTATAGTTGTCTTCTTTCCACTCTATCCACAATGGCATCTTGTACACACGCCCTTTCTCTGATTATATCGTTTCGGATATGGTCCAACCTAGATACTCTCACGACCGGCGTAGGAAGTCAATTTCAACTGCTTTTAGCTGGTTTTCTATTTTTATTTTTGATGTAAGCTGCCAGTTCTCAGCCCCATAAGTAGTTATTGGCTCCACGATACTGTGGTAAACTTAAACTTTAGTGTTAATGCTAATTTTGGAAGACCATAGAATGGAATTCAATTCCTGGATTGCCATTTTACCCTGAACAATCCTGCTTTGTATACCTTTTTTTGTTGAACCGTCAGATTTTATCTAGGTTCCCAAATATTTGAATTGAATTATCCTGATAGCAAATGTCCACTCAGCCAGTTTCAAGTAATTGTGTCTGAATATATGGCAGTCTTTGTAAACTTTCTCTGCTTTCGTCCGTCTGACCAAAGACAGCCAACCATGGGCAGCTGTTTGGTGCTTTTTGACTCCTCAGCATGGTCAAGGCTTGGATCTCTCAAGTTTCTCTATCAAGATCACAGAAACGACGACTGGGGGTCAAGTTGTCACTGGCCTAAACAATTAGAACCCCCTCTCGCCGGGACGCCCTGGTGCTGAGTCCAACATCCGTAGCCAAACTAACCTATTGGCAGCTCCCTGACGTGGCATCTAGTGGCGATGGATGCTAAAATTTTTTCTGCAATATATTTAATATGTTCTTATCTTAAAAAGACCCAACGACCCAAACTGCTTTCGTTCGTGATGATCGCCAAATAAACTTGCAAGGTTAATTTCGCCAGACTATATCCAGTTCACAACGAATATACAATCATGAGCGTATTTCAGTATCTACATGGTCTGCGATGCGGGGGTAGGCTATCTGTAGGGTGCTCCAGCTGCCAGAGAAAATTTAATGTTGTTACACCATCTATTGAAAATAGAAGAATATTTTGCTACTTATCTATTAAACAGAATTGCTACAAACATAATGTAGTTGAGCTACAAGTGATAGCATCGTAGAAAAAGGCATTATTCATCGGTTTATACTGATGTGTGATCAGTTTGATCACCTCATGTGCCGCACACCCTCCCAACGTTGCTGATACTGAATGTAACTCAGCGCCCCCATATCTGTAAAATAGTAGAATATGATTATTATCCTATAATAACATTGAGAAATATTAATTAATAAAATCGTCATCATAACACGTGAAGTCGCATGCTATCTACAAACTTACAAGCTATAACGTAAACTCATAGATCAAGAGCCCGTGACGGCCAGACCTTCGTTATTTTATAAAACCTGAAAGTTTCTCTGTGTATGACGCAAACATAGGCAAGAACGATTAGCGACTATGAAATCTGGATAGAAGTTACTTTGTCAGGTAACAGCAAAGATGAATAAAATATTACCAAATTTGTTAAAGTAGTTTTTTTATATCTTCTTCAAAATGATATACATGACGTCATTCATGGCCAGACCGTACAGTTCTAACCGCTTGCCAGATACCCCTAAACAATTTTAATTGTTTTAACATTGTGCCAGACACATTGCAAGTCTGCCGTAGTAGGTGCGTGAGCGAGGCGATGTAATATGTTCAAGCGAGCGTGAGTGAGGCGAGTTTGGTATGTTGCGACCTTTAACTGCGTTGACTGTCGTTTATATTGTATTATAAGAATTTTCGGTTGGTCCGGTTTGGCAAAAAATAATCTGTCAAATATGACCAGGAGGACAATGACATTCAGCGTGGTATCACTGTTGCTATTGTGTGATAAAGGTGGTACGAACGTGACTTGTTTCGAGGAGAACTATCCGGTTTTATAAAATAACGGTTTCGCCATCGCAGGCTTTTGCTCAATCATGGTACGTGGAACTTCGCTCACACAACGAAGGATATGAAGAAATATACTATTGACACCTTCCACACCTATGACGTGACTATGATGTGTTTTACTTTACCATTCATGTCTGCGGCACTTGACTTTATAGAAATTAGGCGCAAGTTCTAAAAAACGCGTTAGTGTATTCTATAGCATTTTTTGGTCACTCAAATATCTTGATGCAACAATCGCGATTAAAAATTGCACTAAAATTCTTGAGGTGCTGTCCATTAATAATAATTTAAAGGCACAATAAATTAGAGGCTTATTCTATCAGAAAATGCCGAAAAACAATCTGTTAATATATGGTGTGTATAGACATCTCTTGCCAGAGGAATTTGTAATGGGACATGAACAATATTATGCCAAGCTGGGACAGAAAATCTACTGATCATGCTTTCCCCTCGAAGATTCATACTTCAAACAAGTTCCTGGAACTAGGTTTTTCAAAAGTAGTATTTAATGACCTCACAGATTGTAGCATGCGAAAAACAAGAATTCGACATACTTTGTTGAACATGGCTGAATTAGCTTTAAAGGTTTCTTGTACTCCATTTATAAGCCTATTAGTCGTAGCCTATGAGAGATACATCCGTGACCGTAGAGGCTTTATACTATGAGTTTATTACAAAACATATTTCAGAAGGTTTCAAAAAAAATCCATACTGCATTAAACATATGTAGGATGGCCCTTGTGTTATATTGCGTGCTTGAATATCATTTCGTATCCAGACTTTTTGTAAGTAGAAGCATGAAGTATGAACGCTATAAGGTGTTTTCCTCATTACGATATATGTAACGTAATAGGACCCGTCTCGTAAAGACTGTAAAACTTAAATTGAAATATATATTTTTATTAGACAGGCGAAAACACTGTCAACCATCGTAGTTTGCTATGACGAGTTCACATGAAAAGTATAGTAATTATCGTTATTGTATCATCCCAGAATGTAAAAACAC